GCTCCTACCTCCTTGGCCTCGCGGAGCTGGGTGAGCATGACAATGAGCGGCACTTCCTCCTGCCACACCATCTCCCAGAAGTCCGCCACGGTGTGGGGCATGGGGCCCTGGGTCGCAATGTAGACCTTCTCCTGCCCGTCGTAGCCCTGGGGGCGGGGGGCAGACAGGAGGAGGCTGAGGAACAGCGAGAGGGGACTCCGGGAACCCATGCTCTGCAGGTCCTAGGACCAGGCTGAAGCAGTAAGTGTGCACATGCAGACCCAGCTGCACACACAGACACACATGTACACACAGACATGTGCACACGCCGACACAGCTGCACACAGACACACGTGGACACACAGACACATGTGCACACGCAGACAGGCATGCACACAGACACATGTGCAGACATGCACGCACACGCGCACACACATGCACACACAGACACAGTTGCACATGTGCACACACAGACACGCATGCACATATAGAATGCAGGTGTGCCCACGTAGACACACGCATGCACACGCAGACAAATGCATACACCAGAAGCATACGGTGGGAAGGACGTGGGTTCTGGAGTGAGGACCATCTGGGTGCCACCCCTGTCCAGCTGCTGGCCGGCTGTGCCACCACCAGCAAGCAACGGGCTCCTGCGAGCCTCAGTCTCCCCATCTGTGAATTGGGCATCGCCCCGGCCATGCAGGAACACAGTGCAGGTCAGACTCACAGTTACCGCGGGACCAGCGCACGTGAGGCCTCTTTAAACCCTTGGCTCCCCCCTCCCCCGCGTTCTCTCCACACAAAACACGAAACTATGCCTCGACATCCGTGGGGTGAACGTTTCCCTTTGCATCTCGCTCCCGTGCACGTGGGAGCGAGACGAAGCCCCGTCTGGCCAGCCCTCCTTTCTCTGAGCGGGACCTCGGTCCACCTGGCTCACCTGCGGGCAGGTGGGGAACCAGTTCCCCAGGGTCCCAGCCTCTCCTGTCCACCTCCCTGCACCTGCTGAGCCCTGTCCTACCGCTTCAGGCCCCTAGAGGGCGCCACTGCAAGGTAGTGAAGGGGAGAGGGGAAGGGGGAGAGGGAGAGGGAGAGGGGAGACCTCGGCTGTGTTCTGGGGACGTCAGTACCTGGGCCTTGGGCCTGAGCTGGAAGGAACCCGCCCCCCCAGCCCCCACCCGGCTGGCCGGCCACTCACTCGGATGTAGTTGGCGTTGATGTAGTCCCCATCCTCTTGGCTCCGTGCCCGCCCGAGACACACGCGGCTGTGGGGATCTGGGGAGTCAAGAGGCCAGGGGCCGGGGGTCAGAGGCCAAACGGTGACCTGGGAACCCCGCCTCCAGCAGGCCCGGAGGGAGGGGGGGCCTGTGGTTATAGCATCGCCCCGTGAGGAGCTAGCAACTTATTTTCTGCATCGACATTGGGAGCCACGGCGTGTGGTTCAGAGCAGGAGAGGGGCAGGGGCAGGGCCGCCATCGGGGGAGGTTGGGGGTTGGGTACAATCGGGGCAGAACAGGGCTGCTGCCTGGCCCACCGCCAGGCGGGCAGGGGCTGGGCCCCTGGGAGACGAGGACCGACAGGCGCTGAGCCCCAGCTAGCAACTTATTTTCTGCATCGACATTGGGAGCCACGGCGTGTGGTTCAGAGCAGGAGAGGGGCAGGGGCAGGGCCGCCATCGGGGGAGGTTGGGGGTTGGGTACAATCGGGGCAGAACAGGGCTGCTGCCTGGCCCACCGCCAGGCGGGCAGGGGCTGGGCCCCTGGGAGACGAGGACCGACAGGCGCTGAGCCCCGACCGCAGGCCTCGGCTGGGGTCCCCCATGTGGGAAGAAGAGCTGGAAGGAGGTTTGGGGCCACTGGGTTTTGGTGACCGAGGGCGACATCGGTTTCCCCATTTGTAAAAGAGGGTTCAGGCCCTAGCAGGTGTGGCTCTGTAGATAGAGCACCAGCCTGCAGACTGGAAGGATCCTGGGTTCGATTCCCGGTCAGGGCACATGCCCGGGTTGTGGGCTCGATCCCCAGTAGAGGTCATGCAGGAGGCAGCCGATCAGTGATTCTCTCTCCTCATGGATGTTTCTTTCTCTCTCTCCCCCTCCCTTCCTCTCTCCGAAATCAACAAAAATGTATTTAAAAAATAAAATCGGGATCATCATACTGTACCACCGACATCGGGGGTCGTTTCGAGGAGGTTGGCAGGGAGCGGGGGCCCCCGGGGACCCCCCATGTGGGATATGGACTCTTGCTAATGCTGGTGTGGCTGTGGGTCACGCCCTCCCCCTGCCGTGCGGCGTTGGGGTGTCTGAGAGCAGAGGCCCCATGTGTGCTCGCTGCCTCTTCCCGGGCTGAGCCGTGCGTTCTGCGTGCGTCCCGCCTTCTGAACTCCTCTGGCCCCGGGACCCCATCCCCGCCCCCTTGCTCCCCGTGGCCACCATCCTTACTTGGCAAGATGGTCTTGTATCGGTCCTTGGAGGCGTGCCCGGGGACATCCAGCTCTTCGGGGTTGACAAAGTTCGGGGGGATCTTCTGGCGGGGAGGGGGGGAGACACCAATGAATGGCCGGCACCCCTGCCCAGGCCCCATCCCCTGCCCCCTTTTCTGGGGGAGCTGGGCCCTGGCTGCCTGGCCCCTCCTGGCAGCCCCATGCAGGCCTGGGTGGGTGGAGGGCAGAGGAGGACTGTGGGACCATCTCCTTCCTGGAGCCCTGGGGTCCCCTTTCCTACAGGCCCCGAGAGGAGGCCCCCCAACCTCCCGCCGTGCCCAGGGCGGGTGACCCCGAGTCCTTACCAAGAACTCCTCTTCCAGCTGCTGGGGGCTGGGGGGCTGGTGCTGCAGGGCCCAGCGGGTGAGGGGGTGCCCGGCCGTGCGCAGGAAGTGCAGGGTGACCTCCCGAGGGGTGTTCACGGAGCAGA